CGTAAATATCGCACGGCGATGATACTAATAAAAATCAAAATATCATCCTGTAAGCTCGGTATGACGGTTTAATTAGCTAACGGTGGATTTCAGTTATTTGTATCTCTTTTCTTTCGTGTGACCGCGCGGCACTAAAGAAAGTAGGGTGCGCGCGAACGATGTGGGCACCGCTGATGAAGGGATCGATAAGAAGACGAGGCAATGTCCAGAGGTATCCATTAGAGAGTTAACGCGTCTATTAAAGTGTTAAAAGAGAGTCTTCGATGTGACATCTGGATTTAACCTGTCGCTTCCCGACAAAGATATATCTATCGCGCATCAAACTCATCTTTATAATGAGATCCAATGATTCTGCATTATATACGTTTTCTTCTTCCTAGCATTCACGTATTATTTCGGACGATCAGGAAAACAGTCATCGCGTGTCAAGCTAGATAAGAAAGTGAACCCTTAACCGAGCCGAGAGCTGGATTTTTTGCGAGGCCTCGTTTCCTGGTTTAATTCCTATTTAGTGTAGTTTTCAGGTAACGTCCGTTAAAATTGGTCAGCACTCTGTTACAATGTGTGTCAGCGCAGGGAAAAAAAAGGTGAATTTTTTGCAACAATTCGGCGTGCCGCGGGCAGTGTTTAAACGAGCACAAATAACCATAATGAGGTTGCCACGAAAATTCTGTTCAAAATTCAGAGCGAGCATTCGTAAATGCGCGTGCATCCCGAAAAGACGAACGTTCTCAGAAGGATAAACTCTAATATATGCAAATCCCTAGTGCGGTCGAAATGCGAGAAAGTAGCCGAAACACGGCATTCGCGGAATCGATTCATAACTCGGTGACCATGGACAGGATGCACCATTAATAGCTGCGGCCCTTTATACAGGGTGTCCGAGAAATTATGATCAGTAATAACGAGGATGCGTTCCAGAATTTGAAGCTCACTTTTCTTAAAAAACATGATTTATTTATTATATATCTTTTTTTTAATTTAAATTTAATTGATTACTTTTGATATTTCGTGACTTTCCTCGAAAAGAATATAAATAATCATATTAATTACAGAATACTAAAAGAGAAGTATTAAACTTTTGATTTCTCCAAACTAGTAACGTTCCAGTGAACCACAATTTATACTCTAGTCAAATTTGCATGTTTCGCAAATTAATGTCCAATAAAAGAAAACCTATAGTTTCTTTCGATCAAGGGAAAAAGAAGATGTAAAACAAGATGTACGAAGAAAGACGAAGGCAATGGCGATAGTAATGCGGCGACGCGGTCAACCGCTATGTTTGTTTTGCTTATCTAAGACAAATTTGCTGCTTGTAAGTGGCACCGAAGGGTCGCCTTTTGACAAACTGAGGGTGTTTCTGGAATCCCCAGACACGAGTATGTAACACACATAGACAACTTTTAGGCGTGTACACGGGAGATCTCTCTTTCTAGCGTCCGGCCGAAACGAGTCCCAGACTCTTTTTCTTCGACTTTTCTCTTCTCGTTCTTTCTCACGCATATTCCTCCCTCTTTCTTCGACCGGCCCTCGTAAAACTTGGTCGACTTTTCCCGACAGTCCGGCATTGACTTTTTCGTAGACGACGGGGAAAAGCACCATACTTCTGGACTGCAGGAAGCTCCGGATGGTTATTTATTTCGGTCGCCACCGAACGTCTAACGTTATGTGGCGTCCCATTCACGGGAGAATTTACTGCCGATGATCGCTTCCGCATAGCGAGAGATACATACGTGCCGTTCTTGCGAGGGACAACTCACATTCCAAATATTAGCGCGCGATAAAGCAAAAAAATGCGTTCTTGAGAATTTGACAAACGAGTATCGAGACGTTTTGTTTCAATTCTATGCTGAACATATTAGATATGAGTGTGTAGATTCGTACGTACGATATAACTCATGGTGTAATAAGTATCATTTTCATATTAAGGAAATAAATATCGTGTTAAAAGGAAAGGGGGCATGTAGGTATGTATCGCAAGGAAAATAAATCGCACAACAACAAATGGATAATTAACGGTTCTATCGCAAGCGCACGTTGAAAATCATACGAGATACATATCGCGATCATTAAGCGCGCGATGGGAGAATAATATGTATTAATTAGCGGACTTTAACGCTCTGATGCTTTCCCTAACAAAGGGAAAACGCGGCTAATGTAAGACGTTAATCAGATTTACGGCGTAGCCCGATGGCCATAAATCTACGGAAATAGCCGGTGAACCGTATCGCCAAATCGCGCTGCCGACAGGAAGAATCCGATCGAGCATTACTCTTCGGTCGAGTAGGGCGAGAGACGGTCTCTCCCGGCGTAATTAATTATTAATTAGGATTACCGTCTCCACCCCGGGGGCGACCTCTCGACGACGACGTAACGACTTCCTTCGTGCCTTCGCCCCTAAAATAAACGGGCGACTGCACGAAGACTGCTAAGTAACTCCATGAATTTTCCGGCTGCGCCCCCGGAGCTACTCGTGCCCTCTTCACGGGAGGGAAGGGTGTAGCTTCTAATCATCCCTATCTCCTGGCCACACCCTCGCCTTCAATGACCACGGAGTCTATCTTTTCCGCGAGGAGTATTCTTACTTTTTTTTCCCTTCCTGTGTTCGACGAAGTTCCCTCCAACTCTTCGCCATATTTTTTCCTTTTCCTTTTTTTTTTTCAATACGACAGGCTGCGTTTCCTCGTCGTTCTGACCGACCATTTTTCCTCGCTTTCGCCGCTAATACGACACTAAATCGGCCTTAGGCTGTCCTGGGTCGTGGCGAAAGGCGTTAACGGCTGGCCTTAACGAATCTTCGGATGTTCTCCCTGACGCGTATACGGCTGAGACCTGCGTGCGACACGCGAGCTCTCCGGCGTGCACTACGATTTGAGAATTTATTCTCTAGGCGCTGTCATTATTTCCCTTTTTGCTTCACGAATCCGCTGGTGTCAGTCGTAAACTAATTCGAAGTACATTTAACCCGCTCGCTCACGGAACGTTCTCGACGACGAACGGACACGCGAGTTGAGCAAGCCTCAAATAGGAGGCACATTATTCTTCAAGCAATTGATTTTAAAACCCGCCGTTCTTTGACGGTCCAGTTCAAACGCATTATAAATTACTCATGGTTACAACAAGATTACAAATGGTTACCAAAGTAAAGTAAGAGCGAACAACGTATAAATTACTTTTTCATTCAAATTATGTGTAAACAATTTTGTCGTTAATTACGGTATAAACAACTTGAATGATTTATCATGCGAATCAATGATGGCTGACAAGATGCGCGACGCTTGAATTAATTGCCGGAGATTGTCTCGCGCGCGTCTATATGTGCGTCCGTGTGTCTGTGTCACGGAAATACATTCATCTTCACGCGGACGCACGTCGCACGCTCGAATCGTGACGAAGAAATCGACGGCGGGAAACGGGAGGGCGCGAAAAGGGGAAAGGCGGAAGTAAATCATGCAACCCCCGTGACGACGTCGGTGCGATGACAAACGAGCACCGTCGACGTCATCGCGCAAGAAGTGGAAGCGACATCTGATAACGACCTTAATCGCATTAAGGTGCCGTCCCGGGTCCCTCCCCCGTACAATCCTCCGCCAGTCCGTGATCGCGTCCCTAATGTTCTGAGAAAAACCACCACAATTGCAGATAAATCGCTCCTGACCGAAAGTACCAAGTACACGGAAGGGGGCGAGATATCAATATCTCTCCGTTGACAGCTTCTGTTTTATGCGCGGCGAGAAGGTTGATGATAATTACCGCTTCAAATTGAATTCGCGAAAAGCATGTCTTAAATCAGAATCGTGTGTCGACAATGATGTGGCAAAGGGAAAGTCAAGTGCGCCATCGAATATCACCCGAAAATTGAGCCACCTCGTTTCATTTCGAGAGAGCGGTAAGGTGATGCCTCATCCCCCACGCACACACAAAAAGCATTCGTCACGCGTCGTTCTCGAGGGTCGCGGCATTCTCGACGACTTAAACACACTTGTGCCCCTCAGAAAGAATGAATTCAGCTCGCAGAGAAGGGTTAAGCACGCGGCACTTTTCGCAGTGTCTCGCGTACGATGTGCAGGTCGTGGCACCGCCGGATTATCCGCGCGCGATCCGGTGGTGAGTTTGTAGAGCCCGTCATAAATTAACGCAAAGGCGAGAGAATGGCGTTACGGGTGGGTGAGATGAGGGGAAAAAAAGGAAGGCGGTAGAAAGAGAGAGCGGCGGCCCTTCGCGGTCCTACGCAGGTACTACGGCGACAACACGTGACGACAATATGCTGCGCGCAACAAAATCATCCCAGGGAATGAGGGAGAAGGAAAGAGAGCCAGAGAGAGGGAGGAAGTTCAACCCCCTCTGACGACAATGCGACATTTCATTATTAACCCTCCCGTTGCGCCACCGCCGTGTGCTCGACCCCCAAAGCGAGATTCAAATTAAACACGCAAATATTTGCGTATTTTATTCCCGGGGTTTTGTCGGCCGGCCGCGTTTTGTTACCTGCTCGCGCAGCGCGCGCCGAGTTTAATTCGTTTTGTTATAAATACATCAGCGGTCGCGGCAAATTACCTTTTACGAGTGCAGCGGGTGATGGAGGGAGGAGGCAAGGGAAAGAGAAAGAGAGAGAAAGAACGAGGGGAGAAGAAAAAAATGCACGCGCGCGAGGAAAACCTCGCGCGGCGATGGAATAACGGCGATGATAGATTTTTCGGCAAAATTGAGTGTGAATGGTGGCGAATTATACAAAAATTCATGCCCATTGTTTCGGAAATGTGCCCGCTGTTTAACGCCGCACCGGTTAAAACAGTTAAAAATCTCCCCGGGGGGGATCGCCCGCGCGTCAACGTGCAACGGTTAACTTCGTTTTCGGCAAAAAACCCGCGGTGTGTATTTTTGTTAACCTCGCGATCAAAAATAGATACGCGGTAAAATAGATAAAAATACATATTAAAAGGTGACATAATCTCGCTGTCGCGAGGTCGGATCGATCAGAAAAATTAAATTGTACTCACCATGCTCGTACGGATTCGGAGTAGCAGCCGGTTTCCGGGTTCAACATTTTACGATCGCTATCTGACCTGAAAGACAGAGAAAACATAAAACTCATTAATACCCAGTTCTATTATTTGTACAACAAAATATATATATCGCTATAATACAGGAATTAATTTTATTAACGTTTCTAATTAACGACGCGACGCGCGGGTCGCTTCCGGCTATTTCGCATTTCGCGCAAATATCCTCTTGCAGAAGAAGCAGTTAACGAGCGCGACAACGACGACGACGACGACGATGAGGCTGTCGGCAGTCGGCGGGACGTATTTTCGCCCAACCTGTTAACAGTGACGTCAGTAAAGATAGACGAGCGACAACCGGCCATTATCGTCTCAACGTAGTCGACACGCGGGATGAATAATATACGCGCGTAACGAACGCGCAGGGCGGCGTCGATGGTGACAAGGTGTAGACCCGTGTTGTGCGGCGGAGTGTGGAGCACGACGTATGTGTCGATACGTTTATTTGCAATACGCCTATCGCGCGTGTAATAACGAAACACACGTGCGCGCGCGGGCGCGCACACACACATACATACTTCGCCTCTCTCTTACTACATCTACATATTATACCGTCGTGACTCCGCGGCATTAATACATTATCCGTTAGCGGAATTTATTGGGCGCTCTTTTCGACGCGAACGCTTTCGTATCGGCTTTATCGAGTTATCACTGGCGCTGCTGACAGAAAATATCAGATTTTTGTCGACTAATGAAACGTAATTATTGCCGGAAACGAATAGAAATGTATAATATATATGAGTTAACATTAAATAGGACGAAATGATGAATATTAAATCTTCATTACAGTCAACCGGTATCTCTCGGAGTTTTGTTGCCGCGACATAATGTGATTTAAGAACTTACGGCGCTATATCAAATGGACTAACGGGTACTTATTGCCATAATCGCGTTATATAGGCGCGTTTTACGAAGCCTCTTGTCACGGTCAGAAACGTATAATAAGTTACACAAAGGAGCTACTGGAATCTGCCGCACGCATATTACATCGTGCAGCCGTCGAATAATATCTCTAATGAAACGGAACGTTTATCCCAAAGTCACGGCTAATCCTTTGATTTCTTAATCGGAACACGGGCGTGTGTTTGCGTGTTGTGACAGCGGGCATTATCGTGCGACCGATTACGTGCGACATCGTGGGCTATAGGTGAGAGCGGGGTGGGGTCGTGAGAACCCCATCTGCCCACAGAAAGGGTGGACGGGGCAAGCGCGGATCGAAAGCGGGAACGAGGTAGGAGGCGCGCTTTCTCGTCGAGGGTGGAAATCACTGTCCGCAGGCATTAGGCATTCATGCGTGTCGGTTGCGTGAGTCCCCGTCGCCGCACCCCCCATACGCCCCATACGCTCGCGCGCGCGCGCGCGTGTGTGTGTGGGAATGTGAATTCACCATGGTGAATACCGCCGACGCTATAATTCGGTAGGGGTCGGTAGGAATGTGATTTTTGGTCGGCGCAATATGTCGCCGGGACAAGCAGATTTGCCCTCGGCGAATAGGTTGTTTGCCGGAGAATCGGAAGAACGGAGAGCGAAAGGTGAGCTCGAGCAAGCTGCTGGAGAACGCGGCAGAACGCGGGACAAAGAGTGAAATCGTTTTTCTTTATTGTGCCGCAAATAGAAGCGGTCTGTTTTTTCACTTTCTATGTTTTTCGCTATGAGAAGCCGCGCGCGGAAAAGTCCTCGCCGCGGAAAATCGTCGATACGCGATAAAAGCGTGTGTCAAGTAGATGAATCGCCACCGAGAGATCTCTCACTGTGTAATCGAGCTGTCGTTAGCGATTATTGGCAACGATATACAAATTGGACGGTGAATAATGTTGAGACTGGGCGTTTCGCGCATTACATTGCGCTACGGAATGCGAAAAGGCGCTGAGCACTGTGATGCACTTGCATTCGTAGAAATTTGTAACGCAACGCGGAGACAACACTCTCGGCTCTCGTAATCCGAGAGAATTGCCGCGGTAGCTTGATGCGAACACGAAATTTACACGACAATTGGATCGCGTTGCCGAGATTTCGAGATGATCTGAATCAACGGGTGTCGATATGCAATTATTCATCGTATGGAAATTTTATGATGCAAGCGATATTTCTTATATTTCTTGCATTTTGATTAATTCGCCGGCTCGCGAGAAAATCATGTAACTACAGATATATACTTTTATTTTGATAATTCCGATAAACTCTAATTAAAATCGTTTTATCCATAATCGGCAAAGCCGCAGCGAAGCACTTTGAGTCTGTACGCAGAGATTGCCACGATGACAGATTGTACCGAATGACGATCGCACATTCCTTTGTCAAGTAGAGCGTAACTCAGCGACAAGCATTCGAATTAATAGACGTAGCTTTCGATCTATCTTTGGGCATGACCACAGAGTGTGACTTATGCAAGCATTCGATTTCACCGAAAGTATAACGAAGATATAAATATTTGGTATTAAATATAGGAGAATAAATACACACAATATAAATATATAATACAATATAAATAATTGTTTATAGTATATTTATATTGTGTGTATTTATTTATATTTGTATATTTGTGTCTGTGTGTGTGTGTGTGTGTGTGTGTGTATATATATATCACGTGTATATATATATATATATATATATATATATATATATATATATATACACACACACACACACAAATATACAAATATAAATAAATCAAATATGAAAAGTACGGGGAAAAAACAATTAATAGATATCTATCCGGAGTAATTTTGAGAAAAATGCAATTTTAAGTTTCAAGAAATATCTCAGAAAGCTATTGAAAAAAGTACTGCTAAAATCTATTTAATATATATCTCTACACAAAGTATTTTATATGAAAAAGAGTTTTGCAAATTGTCCTAAGAAAACACGGCATTCTTTGAGATTTAAGAACAATGATTAATTATCGATCAAGACAGTTTAAATATCTTTTGACGTACCGAAACAACGTATTTTGCAAGGTCATTTGCAGACATTTAGAAAAGACACACAGTAGGTGGTCGAGAAAATAGAGAAAAAAATATTTAAGAAATCGGAACTGCAGACAGTTTTAAGTGTCGCTCCACTTAACCATTTGTCAAAGTGACAAGACAATTTCACCCCCGAAACTACCACCCCCCTTGGTTGATGAGTTCAACTCGCTCTCTCCTGGCACGAATATCATCAATCAAAGCTATACGGAGCTTTACGGAGATTAGATTTTCGCTATTTTCAACCAAGAGAAACCTACCCTCGGACAGGAAATTTTTGCGTCGCAAAATGTCGCTTGTAAATACTGACAAATGCGTGCGCACCAAGATTAACGACTTTTCAATCTTCTGATCTCATTTAATTCTCGACGAGTGAGAAAAATCGTGATAAAAATTACTATGGCTGTTACTACCATTTATTTTAACATTAACATTACATGATGGCAAGTGCAATCGTTTAACGTAGAATGCGATTTATCAAACAAACTTGCAATCGTGATTTCATTGGAGATGGATCGATAATCGCCCGATACATATAGGCGATCTCTTTCGACATAAGACCTGCGATGCATTGCGCAAATACCGTGTCCCCCGTGGCATAATCACTGTACTTAAGGGGAGTGGTTGTTCCACCCGTGTGACCGGGTTCCCATAACCTCGGCGTTATTAAATGCCAAAGCGAAATCTCGTCGTTCACGTTGTGCCGTCCCACACGATCGGCCGTTTTGGCAGGTGCTTCGTCCACGGATTTCCCATAAAAAGGGAACGCCGTGCGCGCGCGACTTTAATTATGCTCCACCTGCCCTCGTCGAAATTCCCATGCTGACACGATGGGGAAATCCGACGCGATTTCTCGTCGCCGGTAACCGGGCGGTGTTACGCATAAATCAGGGTGAACGAATATTATTTAAATATTTATGACGATTGTAACTGTAATGGCATGCGTAACCCCCTCGTTAACACGTTGACAGAAGAGACAGTCCTGACAACTTTCAAATATATAGATATCGAATTTCGCTATAACATTATAATCGTTGAATTTAACTTTGTATAATAATTTTCAAAACGCAAAACAGTTTTATATATATTTTAAATTTTTAAATAAAACAGAATAAGAATTACCTTTGGTGAGTGCGAGTTGGTGAGTGTTTCAAATTTAATTACAATTCGCGAAACATTATTCCCTTCATCAGCTCGCAATGGCGTATCCCAACAAGGAGCTGTGTTAACGGAAATAACGGGATCGTCGCAATCAGCGTAGCCACTTATACAAGCCTGTACACAAAACTGCCACCGAGCACATTGCGAGGTGAATTTCGCGGAACGCGCCGTCGCCGAAATGAAATATCTGAGTTATCGCGCGCTCGCCAAGTTCGCCACGCGTCGAACAATAAAAAGGAGAGGAAGGAAAGAGAAGGCCCAAAACGCGAGCTATTTCGTGAACGCAGAGAAGATAGGGTTAAAATCTGGCCAGCTCACGTCGCCGCGATGCCAGGCGTCGGTATCCGTTTAACAAATCGCCCTTTTAATCACGAGTGGCTAGCTGCCTCGAGTCATTTGGCCCTAATGGCGGCCTCTTGTTTAGGCGCACCGGCCGCAACGCGGTAGGTTGCCGAGCAATTTCGTTCGGGGCCGCGCCGATACGCCGACGTTTTGTTTAAACCACCCCGGCTCATTAGTCATCGTTCGCGGACGGCACAAAGTAATCTTTTGACGTGCGATCCGCGAGGCGAGCCTCGGTCGACGCAGCTGAAAGAGACGCCTGTGTGTCAAAATAAAGCTCGCGTGCCTCTGGATTTGTCCGGAGATCAGACCACCTTCACCTGGCGGATAATTTGTAAGCGATATGACTCAAATATAAGTGTTTAGATAAATAAAAAATCACGATATAAAATAGTGTCTTGTAAATGTAGTGTAATGAGCATATCAATGTTCAAAATAAATTAAATACAGAACGCTCGCATTTTTTCTGACATAAGTCTCACGCATTTTACTCTTCACAAATTGCTAAGCATAATATTTGCACGTAAAACGATG